CAGTCTAAATTATATTTAACAATTGTTGTCTTTCTTAGATGGAGTGCTATATTTCTATTTCAAGAAAATATAATTTTAAAAGTCCACACCAGAAGACGAGAGATGCTCTTTAAAACAGTCCAGAAGGGTTAGTATTTAAGACAGCTATATACAAAATAGCTTGTATGAGTCCAATTTGAACATTATTTATACATTAATTTGACGGGATATAAAATAAATTGCCTAATTATTGGTTAAATTTATCATAGACATTCTACTGAAAGGTGTTTGATTATGCGGCATAGTTATGATAATATCATCAAATTTCCTTTCAGACATAATTGTCTGACCAATTTTGGTCCCTGATCCATTTTTTGTCTCACTCTTGAGATGCATTTTGCATTTATTTCCCCTTAAAATGTAAAAAAATAGCAAGTACTGTACATGGTCGTCCTGTAATTATTTGGTGAGTTTTTTCTATGCTAAAACAGTAAACTTAAACACAGACCTAATAAATAGAATTGCCGTAATTTAGCAATGAGTAAACACAGATCATGCTGTAATCAAAAAGAGATGCCCATGTCAGTTTTACCAACCTGATCCATATGGCAGGCAGAGATCCGTAAGATGATACAGTTTATCAAATCAAGTTCCCTAAATCCTAGCTCGCAAATTCAGCATCCCTCATAAACAGTGAATTACCCTTACAGATGTTTGCCTATGAAATTATCAACTACTGAAGGTACTTGGCTCGGAAACACAATCTGTTCACCATCAAATCTACGAGAAGCACTAGATCTGCATTTTTGACTCTAGAAAGGACTTAATTGATAGTTTGTTGATATTTTTAAGTAAATTCTTGCTGGGAACAAATAAATCATACTGCTGGAGCACGAATCATCATTGAACATCCATCCTTAGCTAGCAGCATTGAGTGTATGTTGCTCTCCTTGGTTGAACTCTTCCAGAAATGATTACTCTAGGACCCATAAAACCCCATGGAGCTCAGAAAAGAAGCTGCTGCCGCTGCCCAGATTATTACATTGGAGCAGCTGAGAAGTCCCTCACATGACAGATGAATTGTAACTGCAAGACGCCATCACCGGGGCCAGCATTGTTATTATTTTTCATTTCTGTTTGGACTCGAAAGAGGAACTGGTGCACTGATGAGAGCAGGTACCCAGGCTGGGCTGCACTGCAGAGATGACTGCCTTTAAGGTTCTGATTGGCGACATTCATAATAAGCAATAATATACGTGACAGGCAGCACAGACACCGCTTGTTTGTGGGAGAAAAGCAGTTTGGCCAAAAGGGGGTGGAGGCTGGTAAAGTCCGGTTTGAAAAATGCCTTGAAAATTACTTCAGCGTAATTGAATTTGTACAAAGGAAGGAAGCAACAGAAACTAAAATGAACTGTTAGACGGGGCGTTCATCATAAACTAGACTGGAGCTTGCAAAATTAGGAGGGACTCATGGAGGCCAGTAGGGAGCAGAAGGCCGGAGAATATGGCGGCTGCCAGAGGCCTGGTGGCCACTGACTTCATCTCCATGAGTCTCACGCTTTCCTAATTCTATAAAGCGTGACTGGTAACACAGTCTTTTAGGGGTCTTGTGAAGATTAAATGACATAATGTGCTTCAGGGCTATGCCCGGCACAAAATAGTGCTTTGTTACAGCTATTATTTTATTATTTGAAATGAGAATTGAGACTATTAAAAAAAATGGCAGGCAGAAAGCAGGCTCTCCTCAGCCTGCTCCACTGGCGCTGCTCTGCTGGTGCTCTTAGGGGCTAGAAGCATGTCAGCCCGCATCTGACGCCATGTCTTTTAAACCCAGACATAGGTTTGCAGTAGGGGGGTGAGCAGAGGTAGAGCAAAGCCCAGGCCGAACTGTTTCTACTTCGGTGCTACCCTAGTCTGTCTGGGCCTCAACTCCCTGAAATGAGAAGAGACTCTAAGAGAATGAGGTCCAGGCACTCTGGGAGGTGGTCACAGGCTGTGGGGGAAATCAGGTCTCCACAGTGCATCAAATCAGCGTGCTGGAGTGTGGTGGCACGCGCAGGGGCATGAGGGCAGGAAGCCAAGCCCTGAGACCAGAGACGCGGCCTCGCGTGTGTTATGAGAAGCACTGCTCTGAAGGGGAACTGAGCCCGTTATTAGACAAATGGGGAGAGGAACTGACAACGAAAGCCAACTGGTTTGCATTTGAACCTCGTTTTGAGAAAAGGGGCCGAGATAAAATGTATCAGGCAAATGTGTTTCCACTGCCTGGGGCCTAAGGAACGGACAGTGGGGAGAGTTAAGAGTTAACCGTGGCTCATAAAGGAAGTGTGCCCCAATGTGAGATGAAGGGGGTTTGCCCGCATTTGCCTGCCAGGCTCTAGAGGGGAAGCCTGGGAGGCGGGACTGGGAGGTGGGAAAGTCTGTGGGCGGCGGTGGGGGTATGTGTGTGTCAGCAAATAGACCGAGGTTTCCCATTCCATGTGCAAACAATGAGCCCACTTTAAAGACTCCTTCACTGCTGGTGGGTGCAGGGGTGGAGGGGTGGGTGATTGGCCCCCACCGCTGAGCTGTGGAGACTGGCCAACATGCAGCTAGCACTGCAGGAACGCCCCGAGCAACTGACTGGAGGCCGCTCTTTCTTCCAGCCCCAGGCTACAAGGCCTTCCTCCCAAATCGCTCCACTTGGTGGGGGAGAAAAGATGAACTTGCACTTGACTCTGCTTACTTTGAAAAGTAGTGAGGGGGACAGAGGGAGGAGGGGAGAAAGGGAATGATGACCCCCCAAACCCTGCACGGTGGAGGCAGATGGGCAACAGGTGACAAACTACGAGGAAGAGGAATGCATGATAACGTGTCCTGCCCTGAACACACAGCCTGTGAAAACGTAAGAATGAGTCTTGAAAGTTGGAATAGAAACTTCACAAAGCTTAATTTTATTCTAGGCATGGGGAATGAAACATGTCGTTCTTCAATAAAGGAAAGCCCATTCATTAATGATGTTGTTGGGGAAAAAAAGAGGAATTCTATACAATCTATAGCCCTTCCAAAAAAAAAAAAAAAAAAAAGACATTTCCCTAGATTCTCTTTCAAGAACAACAGAAGGACTTTTGTTACTTTCTCAAAGGGTGCTATCTTTATGAGCTTATTAAGGCAACCTGCTTCTTTTCTTTCCCCGTTGAAGTGACATTCTGCTGTTTCTCTAAGTGGCTTCTCCAGCAGACTAGAGTCGCCAGCCTCTGACAGGTGCTCGCCCTGCTCCCCTCGCCTAGTCACTGTGAGAGCCACATAGGCCCCAGGGCAGGCTGCTCTTAAGTCGAGAATTCTGATTGTGCCAATTAGGTGGGGGTTTTGAAATGGGTCCGGCATTCCTTTGGGAGTTAAGAAAAGACCCCTGACGTCGTGGGGAAAACAACATGGCTGTAGAGACCAGAGGAAGGGGTTTCTTGAAGGAAGGTGCCACCGCGCACGCAAGGATCTGGTGGATTTGGTCAACTTCCACCCAACGGGAAGCAGCGAGCAGCGGGGTTCCCAGGGTGCATCGCACTTGTGCATTTCACCACAGCTGCCCCTGCCTGTCCGCCCTCACCCTGGACCCCAGACAGAGAGGCCCGGGAGGCTGCTGGCTTCTTCTAAAAGCAGCCAGACCGCCTGAGTCCGAGGGCCCAAGTCTGTTCACGGGACTGGACTCAGCCTTTCAGACGCCACAGCAGCGTCCTAGGTTGAGACAGGCGCGTGGCTACGCACACGGGGGCGGTCAGGCGGCCAGTGTGCAGGTGGGAAACAGCCTTCTGCTCCTTAGGATTCCCTGGCTGCATGCTCGCAGGGTGGGAGCTTCTACAAGGATCTCTCCAGCAGGAGGCTCAGGGGAAGTTGGGTGATTCTGGAGAGTGAGGAAAGGGGGTGCGGAATCTTCACTGGCACGTAGGTTGCTTTCTCTCCCCGTGGAAAGCCTGCCTGGATTTCTCATCGTTCATCACACGACAAACAGGCATTTATATACACTTGGCAGCTTAGAAGGGCATTAGGTATCATTGTCTTCATTTACAGACAGGAAGGGAAATTCAGAAAGAGGAAGTCATCTGTCCACATCACGGGCGTGACAAATGGGAGAGCCGGGACTGGCATTCACGTCTACGCTTCATTCTTCACATCAAGTCACTTACGACGGGGATGCTTCCTGAGGAATGTGCCGTCTGGCAATGGCGTTGTGGTGCCAAAGTACATCTCCAAAGAGTACTGCTCCCTTTTGCTGGCACAGCAAAGCCAGAAGGGCATCGTGGAAGAAGAGCTGGGTCTTCCTCGACCTCTTATCGCTCCTGCAGTGCCTGTGTGGGGTGCAGGAGCCGCAGGAGGCCGTCGTGGATGCTGTCCACCTTGACAGGAATGTCACCGTGCTGACAGCCAGCACCCGGACATGCATTTTTCTGGCTTGACTTTAATTTTTCCTTTTGGCTTCACCATTCACTTGGGGAGAGTTTATGCCCATTTTTGACAACTCCACACTGCCTGCATGCCTTTCCCACGCCTGCGTGCACTCTTTCTGGGATGCTTCCTGTAACTCGCTGTCATTGTCCAGTATCTCCTCCTCACCTCCCCTCCACCCTCCCACATCTCATCCCCTCATGACAGGGCCACCATCTCCACAGCCGAGTGCTAGCGGCCATGTCACAGGAGGCCAAAAAGCTGACTTGAGAGCCCTGAGAGCAAGAGGCCCAGGTTTACAGTAGGATGCTTGCAAGGGAAAGTTTCCTTAAAAAGGGGGTGAGTCTCTGTCGAGACCTCAAGAGAAAGGTCCAGAAAGATGCAACAATGGGACAGAAGTTCAGTGAGGTTCGAGCAGCTTCACTGGAGATAGGGAGACAACAGGTAGGAACTAAGATACAGGCAGAAGGACCCAGAACTAGAAGGCAAGGCTTTCCCGTCACAACAGACAGAAACAGAACAGTGACTACTTTCAGCAGCTTCAGCAGATAGAAGACTTCATTAGTAAAAAGCACAGAAATAAACATTTAAACTCACCCGCAAGATTTCTTCAACACAGCTTGGATCACTGGGAAGGCTTACCTAAAACAAAATAAACCAAAAAAAAAAAATTCAACAATCTGGTTTTTCTCCCAGAAACTGATTGCATAATGGCTTACTCTGTAAGAAAAGTGGTAAAGAAGGTAAATTTTGCACTCAATATGGGTTGTTTCCTCAGTGCACAAAGCTCTCACTATCTGCAAATGGCCAGTTTTGCTTTCCTTTCATGAGGCAGTAAGACCACAGTGGAAGGTGTAGCTCGAATGAGTCATCTGTCACTGATTTGCTGAGGGCCACTGACTCATCCACCCCCATCGCTCTGGACTTCACTTTGCTCTTCTATCCACAGAGGGGGCTCCACTTCCGGATCTCTCAGACTTCTCTGCCGTCCTGACATTGCCTAGTGTATTACTGACAATCACAGATTTTGAAAAGATGAGACCTATTTGAAAGGCGTGCACGATTAAATGAAGTTCTGTGTGAACTTGGGAGGCCAATCAGTTATCCACAGCTCTTACTCAGAACACCGAGGCTAGCTAACCTCCAGTGCAGACTGCACGCTTGCCTCGGAGCCTCGAATGTCACAAATACAAAGTGAATGCTGTGAGCATCTTGCCCAGTGTGACATCTTCCCGATCAATCAGAACTCACGCAACCAGCGGGACCACGCTGAGCACTTACTCCATGTCCCACACGTGCCCTTTCTTCCAGGGCACCAGAATCAGTGAGAACCGGAAACAAGAGGCCAGCCACGGAGCAGTCCAGGACACGGTGCTGGGGAGCAGGCCAGCCATCTGGGAAAAGGGCTGCTGACGTCGCCTTGCCAGATAGAGGCCGCCACCTCCCCAACGCTCCTAACTCTGTCCTTCACACCTTCACCTTCTGCAGAATTGTAATTTGCTCGCTTCCACCCCAGTTCTGCCAAAGAGAACATTTGGTCGCTTTAATTCACAGCCTTGGCAGGTGAAAGGCCAGTCCTGTGAGACCCGCATGGCCACACAGGGTACATGCTCCGGGCTTCCCGCAAGGGCAACTAAGTCCTCACCCCTGGTTAATCCAATAGATTGAGTAGGCAGAGAAGCTGCATTTGGGAAAGTGAGGAATAGACGATGGCACCTTAAAACATTCTTGCTGGAAACATCAGCAAATCACAAATTGCTGTAAGTCACTACTGTGCTCCATAGAATCCAGCTGGTACTCATTGAGTCCCTTACTGTTGTGTACAAGCTCCAGGGAGCATAAGACCCCTCGTAATGAGGGGCTCATCCATCTGCCTTAGGCTGTGTGGCTCCAGTTTATACTGTTACCCCGGGGGAATTAGAGTCCCCTTGCACCCTCAGAAATGACCCAGTTGGGATGAAAAATCATACAGTCACCCAAAGAGAGCAGACAGTAATAGTTTTCATCAGAACACCAAAAAAAAGTGTGACCGTGGGGTAGTAAACACAAATACATACATACAAATAGCAGAGCACTCTGCCGGCCGTGCGGAATGATGCCATGCAGTAGCATCGAGTCTATCTCATTAATTAAAAAACAACATCCATCAGCATTCCAAGAACACCGACACTCTAACATCAGGGGGAAAGGACAGAAGACAGGCTGAGAACCTGAGATCCGACAGGGAAGCACAGGCGGCTGGGCCTGCACAGTCCCTCCTTCCCTCCTCCTCCTCCTGCCCTTCATCATCCACTCAGCACATGCGTCTGGAGAACAGCGCCGGGGCCACCAGGCTTGCGCTAGCCACACACAGAATGGGGAGCGCAAGGAGGGGGAAGGGGAGATGAACAATCCCATAGGTCACGCGTGGGCATCACTGATGTCAGGACACCAAGCATGGACGCTCCCTCGTCCCGCAGGCCCCAAGGTTCTCTGCGCAAATAAGTGCGGGCGCGCTGCAGCTGGGAGCGCCACGGTGCAAGTGAAAGGCCCCAGACACGTCTGTGATGCCTTTCAACCAGCATGGCCCTGACTTTTTTTTTTTTTTTTTGTGGGACCCTCGCCAGCGGCCGGGGAACGAACCGACGCTGCAGAGGCTGCGGGCAGCCCCGCAGCCCAGCGCTCCACCGCTGCGCCACCAGGGGAGGCCCGGCCCTGACTTTCTTGACCGCTCACTTCTTGGCTTTGTCAATTTTGTGATTCCCTATTAGCAACTACTGCCAGTTATCAGTCATGCTAATTCCACAGAGTGACCGTCTGCGGGCGTACGCTGGGCGGTGCTGGCCCAGCCGCCATGGGGATTACAGAACTCAAGTGAGTATTCTTTACCATGGGAAAAAAAAAAAGCTCGTCCCATTATTGGCTGCCCCAGCAATTGTATTTGCAAGAGAATTCTTGAACTCTGAGCAAATGCCTTCCCCCGACACAAAGGTCAAAGGATTGCAGCAAAGACTTAAAGCTTCCAGATCATCATTACCTTGCATGGGCGCGGGCTGCCTGCGCTACGCGCGCACACACACTCTCCGCTCTCCTGGAGAGGTTTCTGTTCCCCCTTCCCCGCACACACACATCCGTGTGAATGTCTCCACGAAAGAGGAAAAGAATTTAGCCGCCAGAACATTTGCCCCGAATCAAAAGTTGGGTGGGAGAGCTGGCCCTGCCACTCGAGAACAGGATGGAGTCGTCGCCCTTCGGGGTCCCACCTTTCTCAAAGGTAAAATTAAATTGAATAAAATAAAATAGCGATGATAATCATAACACCCGCTCCCCTGAAATCTCCCCGGCTTCCCGCGAGCCGAGGACAAGGTCAGTAACGTGATGTATAACCCGCAAAGCCCCCCGTGAGTCAGGCTCCTGCCCTGCGTCCTGGTCTCCTCACAGCTCTACTCATGATTAAGCCCAGCCTTCTCGTCTTTCCAAGGTAAGATCTGACTCACTCGCCAACTGCAAATATCGCCTCTCCACTTGGTATTATAAATATCCACTTCCTTATGGGGGACATGCTGTCAAAACAGAAAGAGTTGTGGGCTCTGGGGCTTTGCAGCAAATCCAATGCTGCCTTGCTGGGGTGCACAGCACTGAGAAACAGCCCACAGACGCGGGCAGTCAAATGAACGTGCGTCCACACGGAGGGGTCTGATTTTTTTTTTTTTCCTTTTTAGAAAACACTGGGACCGGCATTCACGTGGAGTCTCATCCCGCAAACTCAGCTAGTCCTGGCCCACAGCTGTTTTCACCGTAAGACAAACTACTGGAGCCTCAACGTCTGCCCTGCAAGTGCCTTTTAATTAACCAGCCGCCCTTCCTCCGTGCCTAGCACGGTGCCAGGTTGGGGGGTGGAGGGCGGCGGCTCTAAATACCTCTGAGGCTTGGCCTCTTTCTCTGGGAGTTAAATGTCTGGATGGGATGGGAAAACAAACAATTAGAGACCCACTGGGACATACATTGTAAGGTGGTCGTGACAAGGGTAATAGGATCGCATTCATTCGCCTGCCCGTCCGCCTATTCATCAGTTCTCCCATTTATTTCTTTAGACAGCAAATCCTGATTGAGTTCACACTGGGCTCAGGATGATGCCAGGGGGGAGGATTTAAAGACACTGAGGACAGCGTAATTTCTGCCTTCAAGACTCCACGCAACTTGGGGAGACAAACAGTGACACGGGAGACAGACAATATCAAACAGGAGGTGTGTCTGGGGGCCAGGGAAGGGTACCTACCGGGCTCACGGACACGGCCAGGTCCGACAGAAGCTCCCAGCTGCCGAGGTCGCCACTGTAGTCCCCACTCCAGATGAGAGTGAGAGGCCACGGATCTGCCATGGCCGAGAAGTGGCAGGGCCACCTGAGGTCAGTTCGGTCTCTGAGCCCCCCGCGGTCACTGTGCACCAGGGAGGAAGGTGGGGCTTCGGCCTGAATTTTGCCCAGTTGCTCTCTCTCTCTCTCTCTCTCTCTCTCTCTCTCTCTCTCTCTGTCACACACACACACACACACACACACACACACATACAACCCCCCTCTCGCAGTAATTCTGGACAGGTGTGAAAGGGGTGACACTGGGATTAGAACTGCCGCCCCACGAGGCGCCAAGCTGCCGCTGACTGCCGAAGCCACCTTCTCCTCTCTTTTAATCCACTCTTGAGTATTCACATAGTCCACAAAGCGCAAGTTAGCCACTCAGCGCCGCGGCGTCCTCTCCATCCCCCCTCCGCCCCCTCCTCCTGGAAGCAGAGAGCAGGCTGCACGGCGGCGGAGGAGGCTGTGCTCTCACTCCTGGCCCCAGATGACCCTCTCGTGCTGGGCGCGGGGATGTGGTCCTCCGGCCCGGGCGGCAGGCGCACTCAGGGCAGCTGGAGAGGGCACCAAGAGCCCTGGCAAGTGCCTGCCCTCTCTGCCTGTGACAGTGTGGCCGCCACCCCATGTAGCCACAGAGAGACCACGCGGATCATCTGCCCGGTGATAAATCCAGATCTTAGGAAATAATCAGGGTACCTTTAAATCATCAAATATTCAATTAACTGCAGCAACAATAAATGAATTGCATAGGATGTTTTAATCATTCGGGAATTAATCAGTTTGGAGCATACTTCTTGGCGATTAGGGTAATACAAGATATCAAAAATACCCTGATTGTGGCATTGAGAGACAGAAGCAGCAGCTAGTGCTAACCGAAAACACGGAGATTAATGTAAAACATTAAAAGAAGAAGAATCGTCACGTGGCTAAGCCGGGGCACCTCCAGCGTGCCTCTCAGTACGTTATTAAGGGATGGCAAGAAAGAGAGGTCATCTCCCCCCCCAAACGCAGCCTGAGCTTGTCTCACACCGCCTGGCAATCACAGCCCCCCAGTGGTAGGCATATTCCACCTTGACAAAGACTTCATCAGGGAAAACTCGAAGAGCGAAATCCTAAATGGCAGCCAGTGCCAATGGGGCTGGGAGACAGCCACGTCAGACGCCACGGGATGGGCCTCTTCAGCAAGATCCAGCCCAGACACCTGGGGCTTCCACTTGTATTTTCACCAACAACTCGCCACGTGTATCCCCTCGACTGCTGGCCGGTGCCCGGGACACGGCTTTGCTAATAACAACAAGGAAACCCAGGC